TTCTAGATTCTGTAGCCTAGCCCTAGTATTCTGGCTTTACATAAGATTTCTTGTGAAACCTTTGGCATCAGACTGGGTTTCTCTTGGCTTGTTTCCATAACAAATTATTGTTACTGGGAGGTTGTGATCTGCCTGCTGCAAAGGAGTAGCATGTCTGAGCTGAGGTGTAAAACAAGCTGGGAGCTGTGTTTGGGATGATCACTTTATGGAGGCGAGAGAGTTGCATTATTCAGACAGAGCAATCCTGCTGCCTGCTAGACTGGCACAGGTTGGCTTCTCCTGTCACAAGTGCTTCAGCTATTAGGGCATCAACTAGTAAGCTTTGTTCCTTCACACCCTGCAGCAACTCAGTAGAACTTCTTAAAGTACTTCCAGCAAGTTTGTGTATTTAACAGTGATGTTTTAGTGTGTTTCCCAGGTAGAGGTAATCTAGATGGGTAGATCATTCAGGCTAAATCAAGTTAGAAGCCCTTAGTTTTTTTCTTGAAACCAATAACACCCAAGTGTGATCAAACTACAGCAGTTGGGAAAACAAGAGTGCCGCCAGCACCAAATGTTCAAAAGTGGTGTCAGTTGCTTAAAGTGATGAGATTGACATAAGCCCTGAGGGATTTTTGAAAATGGCAACAAGAATGATCCATTGAATTCTGAACTAAAAAGCAATACTTTAATTTTAGGCCAAGAAATCTGCATTCTGAAACCTGTATAAATTATATAAATGAAACAAATACTCTCAGAGCTGCTTGTGTTGCCCAGTTCTTCAAAATTACAGCCTGCCTGCAGAACACAAACTGTAGTCCATTGTTTAATTACAGTATAGAACATTGTTTTAAATAAATTCTCAAATCCTGGCCACTGCACAAAAATCCTATAACCAGTCAAAAGATTATCTCAAGAACCATATGTGGACTGTGGGCTCTGTATTTTGGATCCTTTTCCTATGACCATCAACTTGAAAGAATGTTCCATTGCAGCCCAACACTTTATGTATGCCGTGCCTGCGATGGGTCCCAAAATACCACCTTGTTTCTGTAGAAGTGCCCTCAATAAGTCCTCCACTTCAGCACCACACTGCTTTCCACTGAACATTCCCAAAATGGATTTTGGTTGCCAGAAATTGGAACTGTGTATTAGTAACTTGATCTTGCTCTCCACATTGCCCTCTTGACCAAACTTCGCTTCCATAGTCTCTTCAAGCTACATGACAATTTACCTATTTATAAATTTTAATATTCACCTCAGATGCCCCACCTCAGATGCCCACCCTAGCCCTTGTTCCCTGATTCCTACCTGCACTGGGGATTGTTTTGTGTTTCATATTTTTCATGTGCTTATTAGTTTTCCTTGACATCTGTCCACCCAGCAAGCATGTGCACCCTGTTTTGTGTGTACTGAAGTCATGGTGCTTCTGGAAGGTAAAATTCAGTGGCATTGATTGGCATGCTTCTAAAATGCTGATATCCCACCTTTCTGCTACTCAGTCATCAAGGTGGTTTACAATTAATAAAGCCATTAACAATCTAACTGCAAAAAATACAGTTTATGAAAATGCAGCAACATCTTCTATGTTTTGTGTATATGATGCATTATTGTGTCAGAAGAATGAGCCGAGAACCACTTTCTACAAAGATGAAGAGATCCAAATGAAGCAAATACCTTCTGGCTTATTGCATCTGACAACTTGATAAGATTGCGATCATTTAAAGCAGGAATCACCTGGTATAGCTGAGAAGTTGTGTTACTTACTATACCGTTCCATAGCAGGAAGGCGTAACATTTCTGAGAAGCTGCTCAGCCAAATTATTACTCTGAGAACATAAACCCTGACTTCTGTCTGGTTTGTTTACACTTCTTGCTTCAAGGGCAAGAGCTGCAGGTTAATTAGGAACTCTTGGCTTGCTTTAGCTTTAAATGATGACATTGTCATTATCTCAGCTATGCAAAAATGGGTGGGGTTCAGAACTCAATTCAAGCATGCTTTCTACTGAGACTGATCTGTGAGTAAAGGTATGTGGCTGGGATTCCCTGTACATGTTAACAAGAGTGGTCAGCTCAAGGTGGCAACTCTAAATCAGTAACTCCTGACACAGCCATGGAGCCATCTGATCAAATAAGCAAGCCTTGTGGACCAGTGTGGCTGGCTTTTGCTTTAAGGGAATGGCATAGAACACTAGCTTTATTACTTTTCCTCCAAGGCCCCTCACATGGGACAGATGAAATATTCAGGGCCGCCCCAGTCACACTGCTAACAGAGACTGAAGGTAGCACAAAAAATACCCAGTAAATAGTTTTAATTAGGACAAGAATATACACTTTCTGGCTCATCGGTTTACAAGTGACTATTGTAGACACAATTGTTATAAATTCCTTTCCCTTGTGATGGCTACAAAGAGAAATAATTACAGTGAATTTCCAGTTGCTTAAATGTGCCCATTAATTAGAATTAATGAAGACAAATACGCACTGGAATAAAAGACAATCTTTATATTCTGAATTGCATCTACTTCTGGTTTAAATGCTCTTGCTTCTGTTTCTGACCGATCTTTTATGTCACACCTTTGGTTTTGATATATACCTAGGCGAGATTGTGGAGATGATGTTCAAACAAACCTGGAATTCCTTGTTGTGCCACAACCACACACTCTTCCTGCGCATGCACATTTGCTCTAGACTCTGAAACCGCTCAAGGGTACCAGTGTATTCCCTGCACCCCAGAGTGAAGCAGACTGAGATAGAAAGGAGAAATGATTGCAAGTTTGAGAAGAATGGCAGTGGTTCTAATGGTATCCAAAACAGGGTGGTGTTTTTTCCTGGCTAGTGTACTGTAAAAGGCTCAGTGGTCCACCTAAAATGCCTTGGGTGTGTACTGACAGTGAAGGAGAACCAGTAGTCCAGGAGGATTATTAATTCCTTGGTTTCAGCTAGAACAGTTTAAGTGGTAATTAATTCAATAACAAATTCTTACTTTTGAGTGTCTGCAGAATGTCTTCAAGGAGTGAGGGGCCCAAGTCTAGTTTGAAAGAAAAGAAAGAGTCCGATGGATCAGGCGTACCATGCCATGAGATGGTTTCAGAGTAGCACCAGTCTATAGCTTGGTTCTTGCAAAAAAGATCTGGATGCGTCTGAGTGGCCTTATGGGAGTGACGTGAAGTGCTTGGAAAGGAATTTTCTGCCGAGGGCGAATCAGTGTGGTCTATTATATTGGGGCAGCTGGCACTGTCTAGGTACAGCCGTGGTGGTTTGGGAGGTGGCTGCGTCTTGCTGGCGAGGTTTTGCTCACTCTGACATGACAAGTAGTTCGACTTCCCTTTCAGGTCTTTTAGGAGCTCCCTTTTGTTGTATTGTCCATTGGAGTCTAGCGTTTGGCTGTTCTGATTCAAGATAATGACTTGACTGCCCAGTTTCTTATTCCTCCGGAGTGAGAGACGCTTGAAGAAGCCCGAGGACCTGATGGATCCTCTCCGCCAAGTGTCCATGGTGACAGAGTGAAGGAGGCCTCAGGCCTTGGTCTCAAGCTAAAATGAGGTTCTAAAAGTCAGGAGCATCTCCTTTCTTTAACACTTCCTGGAACAGGGGAAAAAACAGCAACAACAAACTGGCTTCACTAAAAGGACATACTTGTTTATGGTGCCAGCTGTATTCTTATGATTGAATCAAAAGCACCTTTTAGCTCTAGAAAGGCTGCATATACTTTGGTGCCTTTTCACCTCTTATACTTATTAACAAGGTGCATAAGAGTCACATAGTGATTTAGGGTGGATTCCCCTTTACAAAAACCTATTTGTTCTTCACCCAGAATTCCTTGCTGTAACATCCAAGATCCAAGTTTGTTAACCAGTCGTCTAGCATAAAGTTTCCCAATAACAGAGAGGAGGCTTATCGGACGGTAATTGGATGGTAACTCATAATTACCCTTTTTAAAGATGGGAACCAATATTGCATTTGTCCAAGACTCTGGCATTATACCTGTTCTATCGACTGTGGTAAAAAAATCTGCCAAGAAGGTGGCCCACCAGTTTAGATTTATTTTAACTATTTCAGGTGGAATTGCATCTGGGCCAGGGGCTTTTCTTGGCTTTAGCTGTTCAATAAGTGGAATAACCTCCTCTGGGCTCACCGGAGGCCACTATAGTTAATGGAATTAGTGGCAGTTATGTTATTATCATAGAACAGCTTCAGAAAATAGTCATACCAGTGAACTGGGGTGATGGCATTTATTTGGGCACTCTTCTTTTTATGTTTATCTAACACCAACGCCCAGAATTTCCTGGAGTCATTTGACAATGTAGCCTGAAGGAGGTTAGCCCATCATTTCTCACTGTGCTCTTTATATTTTATCTTAACTATTTGATGTAACTGTTTTTTTAAATTGAAATACTCATCTGGAAGGTGGGTCCAGTTATATTCCCTAAAAAGGCAATAAATAGAACGGATTTGGTATTTAATATTATAGCATTCGCTATCAAACCATCCAACTGTATTTTTTTGGTCACAGTAATTTTGAGGTACCAATTGACTTCCAAGGGATTCCAGTAAGTAACTAATAGTTTTATCATAAACCTGAAAAACTTGGGTAACATCTCCATTTTGACTCATGGCTACATTGAATTCTACTGCCAGCTGTATTCAAGAAGTCACTATGTAAGGAATACGCTAGTATGTGTTTGAAAGTAATCTTCCTAGCCTACAAAGTATGGCTAGTAAACTATCCTGGTTCCCAAGGTAACACTGTATGCATGCAGCACTCTCTTCCAAACGCAGGAAGATACATACGAAATGGGCCTCAGCTTCTGTGAATTTTAAAGCCCATGATAGTTTTTAGAACTATAATAACTTAAGCATCTGAAATTAGGAATCTCATGGTTCTGTCATCCCAATGTGCTGAGATACAGCAGAATAAAGTTTTGCTATGGACAGAACAGGGTTTGCTTATTTGTTTAAACTATTTTTATGCTGCCTTTCCACCCAACTTTAGGGTTCCCAAGGCAGCAAACAATTACAGCCATTAAAGCATTAAAACCAGCTTTAAAAATACACACATACATATATAGAAACAGTTAAATAAAATACATAAACAGGTAGGAGGGTCAATAGGAGAGGTTTCAGGCTTGACCCTTACACTTCTGCAGCGACTATGGTTTAAGAGGTTAACTCACTGCCATACTCCTGATCCAGTCCATTTCAGTGATGGATTCAATTTTAGTCGCTGAATGTGAAGAGGTATAATACCCTTGGTGAGCGAGTTTAGTGACTGCTCCCCATCCCTATGTCATATCTGCTGATCATTTTTTTTACCACTGCTTCAAATCATGTTCATATCCACTGGTCTTTTTTAGAACTACACCTATCAGCCCAAATCCTGTAAACCTGCTGCCAGTTTTCCTCATTGCTGTTCTTCTTTTACATAATTGCCTTCATGGGTTTTAGTGACCTTTGATGCTGTAAAATGGCTGATTGGGAAAGGCACCCCTTCTTCCACACTGTTTTGTATCAGATCATAGATGTCTCCCACGCATGCATACCACCCACAGCATCTTTTTCTACCCTGTTGTTCTTTTTGTCTGTTCACAAGGTCACCTCCTTTTCTTTATTCACGTCTCTCTGTAAGACCAAATCTTTCTGCACCATCTCTCATGACCTGCCTTATCTGTGCATCCATTGTCTCCAGATTTTCTCACTACTGATTTGCCAGTCCTTGACCTCTCACCCCACCTGTCTGTTCCACTTAATGCAGATTGTAAGCAGTGGCTTGGCAGTTGCCCATCCCTGTTAAGGCCTTTAGACCACTTTTACCAGTATAGATCCCTTTAACACAGAAAGGAATTGTTGAGCGTAACTTCTAATGTGAACTGCCAAATCAAAGAAGTGAAGGTCAGCATTGGATTGGAACATCGCTGTATGAATCAGTTTTATTCCTCTTCCAGAGCATTAAACAGCACTGGGGACATCGTAATATTCTGTGGTAAAGAGGTCACTATCAGCCTATCATTAAAAGAATGGCCTGTTACCAAAAAGGTAACCTCAAAAGACTTATGTATTAAAATATTAACGAAGCTTAGAAGAAAGAGAATACTGTGGAGGTTATTACTTACTGTGAGATGGTGGACCCGAAGAGGAGCCAAGAGTAGATTTGTGAAGGAAGCACAATCAAAATGCAGGTGTGTCAGTGGTTTCCTGCCTTGGGACAGTGGCTGTGTCTCCTCCACTCTTCTTGGCCACCTTTCCTTCAGTGTTGCTCTCTGCTTGTATCTCCTCAGTTCCTCATTTGTTTTTTCAGGCTGAAGTTTCCTTATGTGCGTTCTGTGCCAAGCCGTTGATGACTCAATCACGTCAGAAGCTGGGATTTACACTATTAGTTAATTGCTGAGATTGCAGGAAGTGGGTGTGTGTAGAGCTGTGAAGCGCCAACCCTTGCTACAGAGCCTCAAGAGAATCTAGACTTCTGTGGGATATTTGAACTATTTTCATATTATGCTTCAATGTGACTAAAGTAGGAGGGGGAAGATAGGGAATAGTACCCAGTAGGGTTTATTTCTATTCCTATGAAGTTCAAGTGAGTTCATATAATTTTAGTTGTGGTTGGAAAAGGGAAATTTCTTTTTCCATAATGTTGAAATGAAGCATGTCAGGTGATAAGAGAGAGAATTCTAGCAGTCATGACTCACCATGCGGCAACACGACAACGTGTTTGTAGGCTTGATTTCTTAAGAGCTCTAAAGAGACATCAGTGGATCACACTTGTGCTGAACGTTACCATTTAATTGTGGCTTGGCTGCTGAACTTTGCCTCTTCTTTCTCCTGATATCTAAAATATGGACTTGGATTCTGTAACTGTGACTTGCATTGCTACTTTGAACATTTTTTTTAAAGCTGTGTGCATCTGATGGTGAAAAACAGTTCAGTCTCTTGTGTATGGGAGCCTCATTAAAGCCTCCTTCCTTATATGTAATAAGCCCTCCATGCAGCCTTTTTTCTTCTTGTCAGGATTCTGTTGAGTATTAAAGTGAACCTGAACTGTGCCCCCTGTCCAGTGATGTTTCCTGATGAGCTCATGTAAAGAATTATTTTGCAATCACTGGTCCTGAATATCTTGATGATGGGAGCCAGTGTGATATTTGTGGAGAGTATGTTGGGTGAGAACAAAGGAGATCCAGCCTCACATTCCCCCTTGACCTATGACCTTGGTGGTTGCTCTTTCAGCCTCTGTTTCAAAGGATTATGAAGGGGGGGGGAGATGCACACACTGCCTTGTGCTCCTTGGGGGAAGGATAAGGTATCATCTGGCATCATGAGCGATACTGATTAGGCTTGTCAGTTGATCTGGTGTCAGTTACTTTATACTGTCCATTGCCTTAGTGTAACACAAGAGCATCAAACTGATTTCCTCCAGTAGGGGCAAATCACGCAAATTTCATCTGGATCTGGTTCCCATATCATAACTGTGTCTTTCCTATACTCACGAGAAAAGAGAAATGGTTATTGCTGAAAGTATACATATATTCTTGGGAAAGTGATTGCCGGGCCCAGATTTGATTATTATCCAGCAAAAAAGTATAACCAGTATTCTAGAAATCTCACACTGTTATCTAAACCTCTTAAGGATCCCATAATGAGGTTACGTTAGCTCTTCAGTACTAACATTATACATTCAATGAACTGAAAGTAGAGTGCAGCTCTCAGGGCAAGACTTTCCAAATCACTCATGGAATTACCCGTAATTCAGTTTCAAGAGTTCAGGGAAGCCTTAAACAGCATAGGGAGTAGGGATGGGCATGAACCACATTTTTACATTTTACATGGTTTGTGGCTGAACCACAAACCGATACAGCACTTTGTGAACCAAACCAGTCTGTATTGGTTTGTGAGCCATGCAAACCCCTGCTTTCTGCTCCTCATGAACTGCCATGAACTCCATCAAATTTGTGGAACTTTGTGGTAGCTCTTCAGTTTGTGAACATTGCTTCATGAACCACGAACTGGTCAAAATTTGTGACAAGCTTTTGTTCGTGAGCCGCTCGTGCCCACCCCTAATAAGGAGCAAAGTTAAAATCTTCCCTACCCCCACTCCCTTTTCCAAGAAAAGTAAACCATAGGAGTTGGATGCAATGCAGTAACTTGTTTTTTTTAACCATAGAGCTATCTATGTGAGAGTATAGCAAGAACAGTATTTTTTGCTATACATTTTAAAGGCACAAGGTTATCTGCGCTGAACCTTCCTGTGAGGTACGTTAGGCTAGAAGACAGTGAAGGGCCCAAGGTCACATAGTGTGCTTAATAGGAGAGTGGGGATTTGAACCTGGGTCTTCTTAATCCAACATTCTAACCATTATACAACACTGGCTGTTACTAATTCTAACAGCATTCACAATTTTTTTGCTTCATGTGGCTGCATGAGAGTTGACCTTGTTTCCCTATTTCTCTGTTTCCTTCTCTTTCATCTTCCCATGACTATCTCTTCTATGCCACTTCCTTTGCCTAGACATCCCAGACTCAAAGGGGGAAAGCCTTGAATTTGGAATCGGAGGTCTGGCAAATACCCTGGCTTCCTTTACAATCCTTGGGTTTTTGACAATAAGAGAAGAGGATCTTAAATGAGTAGGCCTCAAAAGAAAAAGATGGTTGCCTTGCTTAGCACCCAGACTGTCTTTTCACTGTGCTTATTTACTTACGGGTGGTTTCCCATCAGTCTTTTGCCTCACTCCCCACTCAGGAACAGTGATCCTCCCCTTTTTGTCTTATTCCTGAAACTTCACTGCCTTGATCCAGGGATTCTTGCCCTGTAGCCTTTATCTTTTCCCCATTACATACAGCACTTCAGAAGTTAAGGCATTTCTGCTGTTGCTTCTCCTTTTCCAAGCATTTGTTCTCCATTGCCGGGCTCATGTTCCTCCTAGCTGGACTTGCTTCCTATCAGCTCTCTCAGAAAATACTCTGAAGATTCATCAGCAAAAGCTGGTCACTGGCAGGAACTGATCCTCTCAAGATTTTACATATTTTCTACATCACATTCTTGAGCACCAACACATGCTACACATCTAATGAACTCCACTATTCTGCTTCCCTTTTGAAGGTAACCATTTGACTTGACAGGAGCATTAATTCTGGTGATCCAAGTCAATGTAAGAATCTGGGTATTTGAAGTGTGAGGGTTTTTTATATTTTAACAGGTTATAGATACTGGTGCAAAGTGACCCATGTTCTTTTTTTTTATTTTTAAAGCACCAAAATTAAATGGTCATGATTTCTAGTACTTTACAGAGTTGTTAACAGAAAATGAAGGACACAGCTTGTATCTCACTGCTACTAGGTGAACAGTGTTCAAGTGGACAGTGATTACGCTGGTACAATTTTAGTTCTGCTTACTAGTCAAGAAATGACTGTTGAATTCTTAGCATGCCGTGAAACAATTTTTACTGGCAGAAGCCACAACTGTCCCTTTAGATTCTGCATATTGCTGTGTAAGGTGCTGGTACTTCCTTTGTATGCTGTTGTGATGGGGTCGTCCCCCCCCCCCTTTTTTTGAATATTACCAGAAAAGATTTCTAAACATGTAAACAGTGAATCCACCTAAACATTTACTGCTGTCATTTATTTGTCAGGGTTCTGTAGTTTCTGAGCGAGATTATGAAAGTCTTGTGATGATGCGGATGCGCCAAGCCGCTGAGAGACAGAAACTGATCGAGCAGATGAAACAAGAAGATGAAGAGTCTTGCGCATAATATAGGGAAGACCAGAATTCTCTTTCACTTCCACTGACTGCTTAAATTAAGTCAATAAATACCCTTTTTAAAAACTGTTGTAGTGTTCTTGAGTAAATAAACTGGTAAAGGTTATATATCTAGTGTGGAATTCAAAAATCTTGATATATGGCTTTAAAACGGGTTGGATCTTACAAGTCAGTTCCACCAGTGTTGGCATGATCTTCTTAGGTGGAAGGAGTCTTCCACCAACACAAGAGCTTCTTTTGCCAATGGAAGAGCCTCTTGCCAAAGGAAGGTTCCTCGTGCCGGAGGACTACATCAGTGTAACAGACTGATGGGATCCAACCCTCTCTGGCAACAGGTGGTCTGCCTGGGCTAAACTTGACAAGATGTATTTGCCCAGTTCCCTGCCAACCACATTCTGCCTCCTAGTGACAAAATGTGAGCCAGTTTATACATAATTCTAGTCACATGGGATCTGCCAGAGATTGCTTGGCAGTTACATTTAACAGAAGCATATAGATGTGCTTACTACATTCATTTGTATTGTTTTCATATCAAACACCTTCCATATAAAGGTCCTAGGTTTCCAATCCTGAACTCCTGTGATAGAGAATTTCAAGTAGTATTCATGAATGGACTTTGTGAAATAAAGGAGGCTTCACAAATAAAAGGTTTAAATGTGGCGTTTATTAACATAAGTTTGTTTTATATCTGGCCTAGGCATGTTAAGAGTTCAACAACAATAAAATATGATTTCTGAATAAAGCTTCCAGCATCTTCACAAGTTTTTGCAAAAGGGTTCAATAGTGCATTTCATGTACTTCCAAAGCCTATGGTACTAACAGACATACAATTGTTAGTGTGATGGAAATTCATGCCACAGAAGGAACTCAGCCACATTAGCGTTAGCCATGCAGTCTTTACCATAATCTCAGTTTTGTTGACTCAAATGTGCCCTTTTGAACAAAAGGAATGTTTCCGTGTCTTTGTGGTACTGCTGATTTAGTCCTACAGTATTAAAGCCACAGGGACCGGCCATGTCTGTACAGCTTTCTGAAGTAGACAGAAGGTTGCACAGAGCCATCTTGATCTGCTCTCTGGCACTCTAGCAGTTTCCTCAATTTCAAGGATACTATGCACCACTTCTACAGACTTTGCTGTAGCCAGTCTCTATTTCTTAAGGGTTATTTCTTTATTTTTCTCAGAGTTAAACTGCTTGTTCCAGTGGTTCTTCACAGAAATGTAAGTTGTAGATGGTGAGTCTATTATTATTATTACATTACCACTGACTTTATGTATGGTTTGGCACACACAGTTTCCCAAGTAATCCCAGCAATGAAAAGGCGACTGGTACAGTTACAAAACTGATGGTGAAATATTTGCAGTATGCTTGTCAAAGGATGGTTCAAAGGGCACATGCCATAGCGGTATAACTCCAACCATGCTCATACTTGGAAAAGTTTAGTCTGCTTTCAACAAAAAGAGCACTGTGCTTAATACTGAGTTGCTCTGTGGCAATCCATTCTTTTCCATCCCCAGAAATGGTTTGGTCATCTTATAATTAATTCTGTCCTTATTCCCCAGCTTAAAACTGTTACTTAAGCAGCAAACTGTATGCCAGGGTGATTTTGTTCAATAGCAACAAATTGAGAAGATTAACACTTCAGTAGTAGCCATTCTAGATTGGATTCAAATTAATACTCAAAAAGGATTCACTTCTCTAGGAGAGTTTTGGTCTCCCAACCAGTGTTCCCGCTAAACTGAGTAAGTGTGGCTCACACATTTTTATCCTAGCTCAGGAAGGAGCAAATTAATTCATGCTCCAGAGCAAACTAATTTAGACAGTAGCCAAATCGCTCGCCCACAACTTTAATGCCAGTAGCTCACAAAGTAGAATTTTTGCTCACAAGACTCCACAGCTTAGAGGGAACATTGCTCCCAACTGTTGAAGCTAACTGGATCACCATTCCTCCCATAATGAGCTTGTTGTACCAGTGGCTATTTTTCACAATGTAGAATGTTGACTAGATTTTACTTCATGATGTCAGAAAACAACATACAACCACTCATCAGAGAAATAAGGTCAGTCTTATGCTGGGCGATTTACAGCAATGTCTTGGTTAGGAAGAATGTTGGCGTTCTCTGTACTTTCTTTGTGGAGACACCACACCAGTGTCTGCCCCACTCCTGTCATGCTGATCACTCGATAGCCTCGCTTCTCCAGCTTGTCCAAGACAATCCGGGGGGCATCATGAACGTAGTACTCCCAGCTGTTGTAAACAAGATGTACAAAGGGTGAGAAGAGCAGTTCTACAAACAACTCAAAAAGAACCTTAAGCACCACAATGACAGGAAACATATTGAGATTGTGGGAAGCACTTAAGGTTCTAATAACACAAGCTATGAACATTAGAAAGTAACTGAAAGGAGACATTGTGAACAACCTTGGCTATATGGATCTGGGGTATTAAGAGTAATACTAACCTACCTCTGCCCAGGTAGAATTTTACCATTCTAAATTTTCAAGGCTTTAGGCCAGGGGACACAAAATCAGGTGTTGGTTGCAATCACACAATCAATTTGCAAAGGGGTCAAAAGGCCAGCATTGGTGTTTGGGATTTTATAGTGTTTTGAAATGAACACTTCAATTACACTTTTAAAAGGTAGTACTTTAACAATGAGAAGATGGCCCTGCAGATGAACAAAGCTAATTACTGTATTTATTGAGGAAGAAACCAAATATCATGCTGTCTCTTTTCACATTTAGAAAAAAAGGGCAAGCAATCTTGATACTTAATTGTCCGCATTTGACATGTTTCATCATCCTTATTAACAACACAGCACCATCACTGTACATGGTGCTTTATGCACTACTATAAGCAAGAACAATAAAAAAGGTCCTCCCCCCAGCTCACAATGTAAATTCCAACAATGGGAGAAGAGGAAGGCAGAGTTAAGGCAAGAAGAATGTGAACAAATGTAGTTACATGTACATGAGATTAGTTGGGGATGACAACTAAAGTACAAACTACACATAATACAGGAAATCCATGATTAGAACTCCACCTTCCTGTTCAACTGGAATGCAGCTGCAGAGGCTACCAAATACTTTGAAACAGCTATGCTAAGGGATAAAGTAGGGTTTCTCTCTCGTGTGTGTGTGTGTTGGTTATGAAAACAACATACAGGGTATGGAAAGTGTTGAACATATATGCATACACTGCTGCTGTCATGAACACGTTCACTCATCTCTAAGAGATGAAGGGGTAGCTGTTACTGTTCTAGGGGGAAGTGGATTAGGACTGGCCACTGAGAGGGTGACAAACCATACTGACTACCTGACAAGGCCCAGAGGCCACAGGAGGAAGGTTGCAGGCTTAACATGTCTGGGGAATTATAGATGTGACAGAGTTTTGGACTCTCACTAGCCCTTGGTGGCACACTGGTTGGTAGCGGCTTGAAGGGCAGTGGAGGCGGTGGCATGCTGTGGGTGTGGCAATGGAGGGTCAGAGTGCCTTTGCCGTGCCCTCTTGAAAGCCGCTGTCACCAGTTCTGCAGCACTCTCTGTTCACTCTGGACACGTCCTGCTGCCACATGGGCTGGCAGGAGCCTCCCACTGCCACCTGGAGGAGTTGGCAGCTGTGAGTCACATGGATGGTCAAAGGTGCTCATCCCTTCCATGTCATCCTGTTCTGGAGTCTGTAGAGTGCTGGCAAGGGGTTGGGGGGGCTCTGTGCCTTCGATTGCCACAGGGGCCAAGCTGGAAAGGGGGTACTTTTGGGGGTTCCTGGGGACTTGAGATCAATGTTGGTTATTGGCCTGTGACCTGGTCTTGACAGCCCTGCATTGGTTGTTCCATGGGGTCCCCTGGAAGGTGCGGAGGTGTGTGAAGAGGATTGGTGATAGTTGTTGATCTGTGGGGCTGCACCTTTTAGGATTCCTTGAGTGGGGTCCCCTTTCTGCCAGTGGGTGTTGTTGCCCCCTTCCCTTTGAGTTGATTGAGTCCATTTTGGGCCCTCTAGACCCCCACGCCATTGCGGCCACCATTTTTAGTGCAGCAAGGTCCAGTTGTGGGGGCCCCTTCAGGTGCCTGCAAGAGAAGGTCGACCTGTTCTTGGGCGTCATATGCCCCACCCCACCCCCATATGGTCTTCTTTGTTTTCGGGCAGGTTAAATTGCCCTGCCAGGGGTTGAATGGGAAATGGTACCTTTGTCACCTCGTAAGTCCTATACTTGATTCATAGCTGACTATTTCCCCTCAAAGTTAAATAAAACAGTTTATTTTTGAACTACCATTAGCTTCTCGTGTGCCATTTTCAAACCAGGACATAAAAAGGATTTTAGTCTCTCCCCTCAGTTCCCTAGGCTAGGTCAGCATATATCTAAATACATTCAAAGGACTGGGTGGGACAGCCAGAGAGAAAAACGAAGAAAAGGAAAAAGGGGCTGCTCAGCAAAGAACAAGATAAAGAGAAATCCTGTGAAGGAGGGCGTAAACATGATAAGGTCATACTAATAAAAGACTAGCAGGAGGGAGGGTCAGGAAAGACCCCTGCTTCAGATCTCAGAGAACTACTGCTGGACAATGCAAGTATGGACTAGATGGGCCAATGGTGGGACTTCATCTGTACATGTTATATGTTGGCATGACTGCTACTAACACGTAGAACAGCTCATGCAATGCACCATTCCATAAAGCAAGTAGCATGGCATGATACTCAAGCACAGGTCAAGAAAGTCTCTGGCCACACATAAGAACATAAGAGAAGCCAGTGTTGGATCAGGCCAATGGCCCATCCAGTCCAACACTCTGTCACACAGTGGCCAAAAATACCAGGTGCCATCAGGAGGTCCAGCAGTGGGGCCAGGACACTAGAAGCCCTCCCACTGTTGCCCCCCCCCCCAAGCACCAAGAATACAGAGCATCACTTGCCCCAGCCTGAGAGTTCCTATCTATACCTTGTGGCTAATAGCCACTGATGGATTTCTGCTCCATATGCTTATCTAATTCCCTGTTGAAGCTGTCCATGCTTGTAGCCGCCACCACTTCCTGTGGCAGTGAATTCCATGCGTTAATCACTCTTTGGGGGAAGAAGTACTTCCTTTTATGTGTTTTAACCTGACTGCTCAGCAATTTCATGAAGTGCCCGTGAGTTCTTGCATTGTGAGAAAGGGAGAAAAGTACCTCTTTCTCTACCTGCTCTATCCCATGCATAATCTTATAAACCTCGAAGACATGGTGCTGCTAGACATTCAGCAACCACACGCCATCACAGTGCTGCCCATCTTGTCCTCCATCTCCACTACGTCCCAGTAATGGTCATTACGAAAGGCCCAAATGTATACACCAGATTTCCTCTTCAGCTTATGTGAAACAAGTATTCCTAACAAAGCAGCTGGTCCTCAAGATGATGAACTGAAACATACCACTGCCAAAACAGGGACATGTTCCTTTCATAGTATGTAATGAAAATGAATTTGGAATTTAACCTGTGTAATATCAGAGTCAAATGGGATACTTTGACTTCTTAGCACTTGTGAGAGGTAGTAAAGCCAGGTAGCTAACTGTGCCATCCTAAGTAGAATTACATCCATTGATGTTAAGGGTGTTACTCTGCTCAGGACAGTACTGCAAGAGCCTGAGCTATGAGCTAAACAGTCTTGGTTTAAGTGCAGCTCAATTGTGATCATACTGCATAGCTTCAGACAAGCCATTTTCTATCAATCCATATCCTCCCTTACCTGTAATAAGGGGGGTAATGCTAATTATGTTTTTATCACACAGCTATTTTATATTGTTTTCTTTTTAAAAAATTGCACATTTATCAGGGGAAAAAAGTTGTCAACAATCTGGAGGAAAAGTATCCTCTCCTTTTAAAAGAGGCTTAATGTATGGAAATGGGCAGGTGAAGCTCTTCATAACATGGAGGTAAATAACATCACCTGGTAAATAAACATCCCATTTAAGCCTCTATTAAAGGGGCAGGGCATTTTTTCTCCTGGTCAATTGGCAACCAGAGGTGTAACTGTTTAGAAAGGTACTACAATTATAAATAATTTACTCCAAAATTCCTAAGTACTGGTGAAATCCTTTGAACATTCTTTATAGTTGTATTAGGAAAAATTCTAAGTTTTACTTGCAGTTACTGAGGCTATCTAAAAACTTTGTTTCTGTTGAAGATTCTCTGGCTTACAGTGGAAGACTAGTGGCATGTTCAAGACTAAATGAGACAATTTTAGTAACAGAGCACAAGTTTTCCTAAGCAATTATCTTCTTGCTTACTGAATGTACCTGGGGTTTGGGAATAAAGATAAACATAGATAATCTTGAGTGGCTGTATCAAAGAGGCATTAAATTGCTTTTACAGCCTAAAGGGCGTCATCACTGCAAACAAAAAGAATCCTTATGTGTGGCTCAATTTCTCCTGAAGATTTCATTTGCATTTTATGATACCTTCATCTAATGAAAAGGACCTTGTTTGGTTGTGTTCACAGTTTAGCTTTGGTCTCTGAACCGGTTCCTTTTTGCTAATCCCCTTGGAACGCAGAACTTCACGCCCACAAGGAAGGCCCAGTTAACCTGCTGCATTCCAGGGCAGCTGTTTTGTTACCTGCTTCTGTCCTCCTCTTGTTCAATTGCAAAGGGAGGGGATTTAATATTTTACACAGTAAGAAGAAATAAAACACTCCCTACATCTTCCACCTCCGTAAAAAGGGTGTGGGCAGAACATGAAATGTTTACAGACACACCATCCAGAAAGAAGTGCAAATGTTCCAGGGTAAATGAAATTTCTGCCAACAAGCTCCAGAAATTATTCCTTGTTGTGAGTCCGGGCACACAAGCCTCACACCTGCTAGGAATGTGAGCAATTAAGCTTTCTCTACCTAGTCAATATACTGCAAACCATGAAGACATTTACAGCTTGGTTAGTTAATCATCTGGTTTTTTGCAAATCTTAAGATATTTTGATGCTTCCCATCAAATTCCAGATTTCAGTCATGCCATTTAACACATTGTTTTTTTTCCTACTTAGTAAAATCATTTGCACTTTCCTGGTTGCAGTAAAAACAGAAACAGTGAATATTAAAAGCCAAAGGACAGAAAAATGTGCATGATTAAGAACGCTGTGTGATTTCAGATACCTGAGTCATGATTGCATAATGGGGGGGGGGGGACTCAAAAAATGGCAGCTTCTAACAGCATAAGCTTGCAGGGTCTGTCAGACAAAATATACCAGCATCCATGACTGAGGGCGGCTGAAGGTGGTGGATGAAGTGATGCCCTTACCAACAGGCATCAGGAAGGTGTGACAAAGCTGCTCGAGTCATGGCTGCAGCTCTACGCAGGCACACAGATTATGAATGTGTAGTGGATTCAGTTGACAGCAAGTGATGTCATCACCCTGCAAGCCCACTAGGTTCCACTGCCACTCAGTAGCTACAGCCCTGTTTGGAGTTGCAGCCTCCATGGCCCCCTCCCCCTCCTGTGATACTCAGTGGGGGGGGGGCGTTTTGAATTAAACCAGTGCAGAAGGAAGAGTTAAGATGCCCCACCCAGTCTCCACCTGGAGACTGCAGCCTGGGGAAGAATCTTTAGCTAAAGAAAGTTAAAAAGTTGGAGGAAAAAGCTACATGTGACTAAGATGTATAATTTGCATCTTAGGCAGATAAGAGTGATGGAGCTACTCTGCCATCCTAAGCAGAGTTACACCCATCTACACCCTTTGACTTCAGCGGATTTTGTATAGTGTAACTCTGCTTAGAATGGCACTGTTAGAGGTGAAAAGATCCTGAGAAGGGATAAGGGCAGAAATATAAGGTGGGGCAAAGCCATGAAGAGCTTTAAACAGATGATGTGAAAGAAGATGGAAATCCAGTATAATGCTATAAGAGGAAGAAGAAGAGATTGGATTTATACCCTGCCCTTCACTCAGAGTCTCAGAACGGCTTACAAACTCCTTTCCCTTCCCCTCCCCACAACAGACACCCTATGAGGTAGGTGGGGCTGAGAGAGCTCTGAGAGAACTGCTCTTTCAAGGACAGCTCTTGTCAGAACTATGGTTTGCTCAAGGTCATCCAGCAGCTGCAAGTGGAGGAGTGGGAAATCAAACCCGGTTCTCCCAGATTAGAGTCCACACACTTAACCACTACACCAAACTGGAGGCAGTGCATGGTTTGAGCAACAAGACAGGTGAAGTGTTTTAGCAGGAGAGTTCCAGATAGAAGTGAGAGGACTCCAGTGTGACACAGGAAAGCCAAAAACAGACTTAGGAGTTAGGGCAAGGGGAGACAAGCATGTGCACCAGAGCTATCCAAGGCTATGGGCAGAAAGAGACTGATTTAGACAGGGTTGTGGAAGGAGAAGAGATGTGATTCGGAAGAAGACAGAATATGGGGAGCAAAGGACAGGAAAGGCGCCGGGGAAAGCCAAGGCCGTGTGCACGTATCAGAGAGGAGGAGGATGTTACTGATGGGAGACAGAAAGTAATAGATCAGCCATGTTAGTCTGTTGCAGCAAAAATAAACCGGAGTCCTGGGGCACCTTAAAGACTAACATTTTATTCTAACACAAGCCTGGGTTGAGAGCCCATTTCTTCAGAGACAATAGAGTAGATCCCCACAGACAGATATTTTATGTAGGAGGGTATGATAAACCAAACAGTATAGTTGAGGGGCCATGAAAAGCAGGAAGTACAGGGTGAAATGTAATCGTATAAAATTCAAATCTACTCAGGAAAAAATACAGAGACCATTCACTAGTTATGCTAAGCTAGTGACCACCTGTACTGTGTGGGGGAGCCCCAGAGTATAAAAAAGACTTCATATGGCTCATGGGTCAAAAATCCTAAGACCTCCCCTGACTTGAACAAAGTACAACAAGATAAACTAAGGTATGGAGAAATAACAGAGTAACCGTTATCAGCCATTCCACTCAGAAGAATGGATAAGGGTCTGCAAAAAACTCCATCTAAATTTATACCAAAAAAGCCTTCCCTAGAAAGCAATTTTAAGTTACGCTTGCTATTTATCTCCCATCTAGCCAGTGCAAACTTTTATCATGAGATTCACATCATCACAAAGATTCCATTCTGTGGTAAGGATTCCTCACTGGCCTTTTTCTACGGAACGGTCACCTTGGCTCATGCATTTATTCATGAGAGTCCAGACAATGTGCCTCCCAAACTATTGTCTCCTATATTTTACCCCTTCACCCAAAGATGTCATCCCAGCTTAATAAAAAAATAATACTGATTCACAGTGGTTTTTCAAGGTTGCACATAATGCTCTTGTCTTACCTTGTTTGGCTTGTAATGTTCCTGACGATGTACAGCCTGCCCTACCTCTCTCCATTACCTGGCCAACACATCACCATTACTTATTCTAAAATCGTGACCCTCCCAAGGGGGCTGCAGATTTCTATTCCTTTTTCACCTTCAACCTGCACTAAGGAAGGAGGGAAATGGTCAATTTTATGTTCAAAAATTTTAAGTACTTAAAATATGAATGGTCCACAGCCTTATACCAGTAGTGATCCTTACACATTGCTTTTGATGGATGGGGGTGGGAAGTGGCTATTCCTTCAACAAATACAGACAATAGCCTTGACCTGGATAGCCCAGGCAAGCCCAATCTTGTCAGACCTCTCAGACCTCAGAAGCTAAGCAGGGCCAATCCCGGCAAGTATTTGGTGGGAGATCTCCAAAGAATACCCCGGCTGGGAGGCAGAGGCAAGTTATCAAGCCACTGAACATTCTCCACGCCCCAGTAGGAGTCGCCAGAGGTCACCATGACTTCCAGGCATGGGCGCACAAACACACACGCACGCAAACTGCAAAAATACAAAAAAAGAGAACCAAGGAAAAGGTAATACCCGCTTCTCACATGCACATTCACCACTTTTCTACACTAGGTAATTGCACATTTTTTGGCTAAAAGTGTGGGACTGAATTCCACCGAAAGCCATTGTGGGTGAGAGGATAGGAAGTCTGCTCTGTGGAGGTTTGTTCTGTGGCAGCTGATTTGCTGGCTATTGCAGGTGCGATGAACACACACAAAAACCAGTCTTTGGTTTGTAATGCATGCATGTTAATCAAAGCAGTATGAAGAAGAGAGAGAAAGGTTATAAGAGGGAGAAACTGAATGGTGATAGGATGGAATGATGGAAGAAGCAGAAGAGGGATCAGAATCCCCACAAATATACTTACAAATGGTTCCCCAGCATGTTTCTTTTAGTGGCCCCTAGATAGAGCATCAAGTGTGGATCAGAATGCTCATCGCCAACCATTGTGGGTCCAACTTCCTGCAAAGGAAAAAAATCAATTCTGTTCCTGAAAAACAAATCATTCCCTTTCATTCTACCTGCTTAAATTTAAGTTACAACATATACAACACTTAAGAAAAAATGTTTAATTGACAACAAATGGTACGTTTCACTTGGAGAAAATTCACAAAAGCTTCCAGTATATTGAAATATATTTTAATGAAAAGTCAACTACTCCAAGGGGCATTTGGGCAGCACCACACTGGCTGATCTGGACAGAAGAGAGCAATGTGGTCGTTTACACCTGTTAGAGCAAAGCACAGGAGGAAGGCAGGTCTCTGGAAATGCTCAGGGAGACCAAGTGCTAGAGAAGAGTTCCCCCTACAGGCTGAACAAGAGACAACAACAAAGAGCGAGCAAAAGTATCCATTATTATGGCGCTTGACTCTAATTAGCCCATCCTGGCAACATCCTCCTCACCCTCTACCTAGATGTAATGGTTGGTGACTTCTGTTCCAATGTATCTGAAGAAGAGTGCATGCACATAAAAGCTTACACCCAGAATGAAACTTTGTTGGTCTTAAAGGTGCCACTGGACTCAAACTTTGTTCTGCTGCTTCAGACCAACACGGCTACCCCACCTGGATCTATTGTATTACTTAACAAGCTTTGTTCCCAACACCATCAAGGAGAAATGTGGTAATGGATTTCTTTAATTAAACACCTAAATATCTGACTTTCCTTCTGAAACAAGAAGCTGAACGAGCCTTACAAAACAAGCCTTCCAGTGCAATCCAAAACACAGTTAAACCTTTCTAAACCCATTGAAATCAGCGGCCTAAACTCTGCTTATGATTGCACTGTTAGATACCACAAAAATCAGCAGCTCACACCAGGTTTCATTAGCTCGCCCATACCACCGGAAGTCATTTCTGTCTCACCAACAGTCTGAAACAAACAATTACGAACTCCCTCTCCATGTACAAAAAAACCCACACCTGCCTGGTTGCAGAGGGGTGAGTTATAAACCACTGAGATGCTTTTGTAAACCTTTTCAGAAAATTCTGTTTAAACACACAAACTCTCATAAATTGTGAGGAAGCAACAGCTCTTGACCCACGGATAAAACACTGCAGTGCTTGGCAGAAAGGAAGTGCGCAGGGCAACTGGTCTCAGGAACAACAAAGCTGTGCCGAGGCAAAAAGAAGCACTCGGGGTCCAGTCTAAATTCCAGGAAGGGGGTGTGTGTGTGTTTCTCTGACCCTGAAATTTCTGGTTTATAAACATACAAGGAAGAAGCTGCTGAAGCTTCTATGTCCTCAGCGCAAGCTACAACAAACATTGCAAATGGAAATCCAAGTCTAAAGGAGCAGGCCAAAACTGGCTGAGGATTTTGCATGCTTTCCTGACTCACAAGGAACAGATTCCACTGCAACAGACTGCACTTGCGAGTTTAGTAACAAAAACAAAAAGACTTTGTATTTGTCAAGAGGATGTTTTTAAACTGAATCTCTTTAGCTGCTTTGGGCTTTGCTAAGGAAAGGCAGGCTATAAAAACTGGCCTTGAAAACAAACACATGAATATACCACAGTTATTCCACTCTATTTATTGCAAAAGGGCATTGAGTGCTGCAGAAATGTAAAGAAACTGTTTCATCTGAAATCCTGCCTGCAGAATGACTGCTCAGTTTTGTAATAAACGTCTTATAGGACGTTTATGAAATCCTATGAGATGGCGGTGAAGACTGCTAAAAGAGAATTTTATGCAGCATCCATCGAATCTGCTAGCTCACACCGAGCACAATTATTTAGGGTAATTAAGTTGTTAATTTCTCTCAAAGGGAAAACCCAAAATGTTAGTAATCTGGCCATTAGCTGTGAGGCTTTTTGAGCTTTTTTTGCAGATAAAATCTTGTCACTCCACCACAACCTGCCTGTCAACGTTGATACAGTGTGTGAACTGGAGGCCCCTTGGCTGTCTTTGGATTCAGTATTGGACAGCTTCAGCCGACTACCTCGGCCTGATGTTGACAGGGTTCTGGGTGCTGTTAAACCTACCATTTGCCTCTGAGACCCATGTCCCCCATGGCTGGTGAAAACTGGTAGTAACAGAATATGGGGGTCCCTGGTGGACATTATAAATCTGTGTCTGAGCTTGGGGGTCTACCAGGGGGGATTAAAAGAGGCTGTGGTGACACCACTCTTAAAGAAACCATATTTGGCTCCTACTGATCTGACGAATTACTGCCCAGTATCAAATATACAAGGATGTATATTGTCCCCTTGCTTATTTAATTTATATGCAGAGTACATCATGCGAAATGCCGACCTGGATGAATCACAAACCGGAATTAAGATTGCCGGGAAGAACACCAACAACCTCAGATATGCAGATGATACCACTCAAATGGCAGAAAGTAAAGAGGACCTAAAGAGCCTCTTGCTCAGAGTAAAAGAGGAGAGTGCAAAGGTTGGCTTGAAACTCAACATCTAAAAAATTAAGATCATGGCATCCGGCCCCATCACTCCTTGGCAAATAGAAGGAGAAGTCGTGGAAGCAGTGACAGACTTCACGTTCCTGGGATCCCAGATCACCGCAGACTGTGACAACAGCCATGAAATTAAAAGACGCCTGCTCCTTGGGAGGAAAGCAATGGCAGCCCTGACAGCATGATAAAGAGACATCACCCTGCCAACAAAAGTCCGTATGATCAAAGCAATGGTATTCCCAGTAGTCATGAATGGCTGCGAGAGTTGGACTATAAGGAAGGCCGAGCGCCGAAGAATAGATTCTTTTGAATTATGGTGCTGGAGAAGACTCTTGAGAGTCTCCTGGACTGCAAGGAGATCAAATCAGTCAATCCTAAAAGAAATCAACCCTGACTGTTCCCTGGAAGGCCAGATACTGCAGCTGAAGCTCAAATACTTTGGCCACCAAATGAAAAGGGGGCACTCACGGGAGAAGACCCTGATGCTGGGAAAGATTGAAGGTCAAAGAAGAAGGGGACGGCAAAGGATGAGATGGTTAGACAGTGTTATCGAGGCAATGAACATGAAATTAAGCAAACTCCGGAGCACAACGTAAGACAGGAGGGCCTGGTGTGATGTGGTCCATGGGGTCGCGAAGAGTCAGACTTGAGTGTGTGACTGAACAACAACAATCGAATCTTTTGTTTCTGAGTAAGGTAACTGAGAGAGCGGTGGCAGAGCAGCTTCAGACTTTCCTGGAGGACACATTAGCTCTAAACCCATTCCAGTCTCGTTTCTGCCCTGGCCAAGGAATGGAGACGGCACTGGTCACCCTTGCAGACAATCTTTGTAGGCAGCTGGACCATGGTAGATTGGTGCAGCTGTTATTACTCAACCTGACAGCAGTGTTCGACAGGATCAACCATGATCTGTCAATCCACCGCCTTGCCAATGTAGGAATTCGTGGGACGGCCTTGAAGCAGCTTGCCTCATTTCTCCAAGGTCAGGGACAGAGGGTTTCACCACAATCCTCTGGTATGTGGAGCCCCCCAGAGGGCAATCCTCTCTCCAATGTCATTCAACATCTATATGTGCCCCCTCACCCTGCTGACTGGGTTGTCATCAGTACACAGACGACACCCAGCTGTATCTGTTGATGGACAGACAGCCAGACACCGCCCCAGCTATTTTGGCCAGGGGTTTGGAGGCCGTGGTTGGATGGTTGAAACAGAGCCTCCTGAGACTGAACCCCTCTAAGATGAAGGTTATGTGGCTGGGTAGGGAGGATTCAGGGTTAGGGTGCCGACTCCCGGCTCTTGACAATGTGCCTTTAACACCAGTGCCAACTGTCAAGACCCTAGGTGTGTTTCTGGATGCCTCCTTATCGATGGAGGCCCAGATCACAAATGTTGCCAGACTGTCATTCCTTCAGTTATGACAGATCAGGCAGCTGGTTCCCTTCCTGTCTTGCCCTGACATAGCCAACAGTGATCCATGCAACGGTCATCTCCAGGTTAGACTACTGTAACTTGCTCTATGCAGGGCTACCCTTGAGACTGATCTGGAAATGTCAACTGGTCCAGAATGCAGCAGCGCAGCTTGTTACAGGAACTCCATCGATAGCCCATATAACATCAGTGCTTCGCCAGCTGCATTGGCTCCACGTCTGAATACTGGATCAGGTTCAAGGTTCTGATATTAACCTTTAAGGCCCTGAACAGTCTGGGACCAATGTATCTACAGGACTGCCTCTCCTGATATTACCCCCCCAAAGAGCATTATGCTTAGTGGAGAAGAACTTACCGGTGATCCCGGGCCCAAAAAGCATCCAACTGTCCTCAATCAGAGCTGAATGACATCCGTGCCCCGTGGGACCTAATGCAGGGCTTGTGAGAGAGAGGTGTTTCACCAGGCCTATGGTTAAGGACTGCAACAGTTTTCCATCCAGCCTGGCTCCTTCTGTCCTTCTCCCTCCACAGGGAAAGGACACTAAATTGTCTGCCTTATGCGTCATCTGTAAATTGTCAGTTAAATTGTATGCTTATTTTAATTCTTTTAAGTCTTTAAATTTTAACCCAACTGTAAATGCTGTTATTGGAAATGTTGTTCCCCACCCTGAGCAGGCTATAAGTCACAATAAAAAAATGAATAAACTGGTGTGTGCCCATGCCTTTTTTTTTTTTTTATATTTAATGCTCCTAAGATTTCTAAAAGCAGGGTTTTGTTTTTCTTTCCCTGGCAAATATGGCATACCAATTTGGGGAAAAAGTTATGTTTCATTACAAATTTAGGCATTATTCATCTAGAAACTGGTACAAATGTAATCAGTCTATTAATGATTAAACCTCTGACATTTAATCAATTAAAATGCCTTGAGTGACAGCCCTATTTAAAACAGGATGCCATCTCGTACGTATCATGCAGAGGTGTAAGGCTCGATGGGAACACTGACTATAGTTCGTACTCTGCTCAGCCTTCCCAAATAAATGGAAATAAATTACACACGGCATTCATCTATAGTTTAGAAGGGTGCCACCATTTTAAGCATGATTCTGCAGATCTATTATGTTCTCAGTGCCACTGCCCAGTGCCTGCTGGTCAACACGACTGACATTTTCTCCTTGCTGAGATCTCTCTCCCATCACTACTCTCCTCAGTTCTCAGTGCCCCTATGCTTTCCCGACCTTGCATTTATATCATCCCTCTTGGACAGCTTGATTCTCAGGTCTATCTGGCACAGGACCCTCTGGTGGAAACTGCATTAGATCCAAATGTCACTTGTCTACAGGACAATATGCTGGTACAATCCCTGCCTCTGGTCTGTCCAGAGTCAAGCTGTCCTTGGCATATAAAACAGCTACAGAAACTAGCTGCCAGCCTCCCCTGCACCTCTTTGCCCTGCTAGCAGCCTGTGCCAGCATGAAAAAAGAATGACAATGCAGAAGATCTAGGCATGTGTGATTCTGCCACATCCAGGTGGGATTGCTGGTGTAAAATACTACTGTATATTTTTCAATAGTTATTCTACAGCTATCATGTGTTGTTGTGGAAACCAATGGGCAGGAGCATAATTATATTATATAGAAGCAAATATTAAAAGAGCCGGTAGCTTTCTTACTCTCAGACCATTAGCTGAGAGAAAACCCTATTTCAAAACAATGGGCTAGATCCTGTCAATCTGCAACTAAGTGCAGTGCCTTCCTGTGCTGGAAAATGCTGCTTGTACTGGAAGAAGGAGCAACATTTAGCTAAGTGACATACCAGGATTCAGTCTGTGTGCACAGGGGGACAGCTAAGCAAGGCACTGTTGTGGCTGATTTGCAAAACCCAGTAAAATCATAAATACACTGTTTCTGTCTCTTGGTTGCATTATGATCTTGTGGGTGGGGAAGGCAAGACCAATTTGACATGACCCACCAGCCACTCCTGACAGTCAATGACTTACAGGGGGTACTTCTGTGACACTATGTACCAATAAACAATACAGCTTTGCCCCTTATATGCCATCAAAGACAGGGCTGTCTGTATTCTGCAATCCCACAGAAGTGCAAAGAGTGATCTTGGCTTAGAATTCAGCATTCTTCAAATTTCATCTTTCACATTTGCCCTCCCTGCAACCTTCTGACTCCTCAACATGCAGCTGCTGGTGTGACCGTGGGTCAGTTACAAGTTCTTTCAGAGCTGTTCCCTCAAGAGCAGTCCTTGAAAGAGCCCCCTCAGCCCCACCTACCTCACAGGGTGTCTGTTGTGGTGAGGAGATGGGAAAGGGATTGTAAGCTGCTCTGAGACTCCTTCGGGTAGTGAAGGGCGGGGTATAAATCTAATCTCCTCTCCTCCTCCTATGGCAGGGGTCCCCAACAGGGGCCTGCCAACATCTTTCTTGGTGCCCAACAAGACCTTTTTGAAAGCAGGAGGGGCTAGGTGGGGCATTTGCTTAGCAGGGCTTTTGACTGGCTCTGCAGATTAAAAGGCATCCTGTTAAACAGAGCTTCTGCCTGAAATGCCAAATTGTTACTTTAAGAATTACATATAACCTCACTCCCTGACATGTCTTCTCTTGGCAGCCATTTTGTGGTTGGCTCCACCTCCCTGTGTCAGAATTCCAAAGGTGCCCACAGGCTCAAAGAGGTTGGGGACTCCTGCACCATGGCTTCAAATATAAATATAAGGACTATTTCAAGCCAGCCAGGAGGTGGGACTTCTGTTTAATTTCTTGTCCTTCCCCACAACTAGTAGAAACAAAAGAAATGATGTAAAATAAACAAAAATATATGGGCAGTTGCTTACTTAGAATTAGAATCCAGCTTGTCTTGGCACAGGCTCATCGCAGACCTTGATATATTTTTTTAAAAGCCCTGGCGCAAACTGTGCATAGATTTTGCAGGAACCAGGGTCTTCAAACGAGAAATGGTACAACCCCCAAAGAGCCATCAGGCTGTTGTCGAAGGGCTGGTTCACATTTAATGTGGCAAAGGGTATTTTCTCCAGTCTGTACACAAGAAGGAGAGCTGCTGCTGCTCTCAGCCCCCAGCATATGCACCTATATGCTACACCGAGGTGGGCCATATTACATTTTTTATGGTACATGCTAAAATGTAGGCTTGGATCCTAAGGTGACTTTCTTTCAGCACAGCATCTCCCCTTACTGAATAGCTTTTCTGCCTGCAGTGGAGAGACACAAGTTTGTTTGTTTGGGGGGTTTTTGCGGGAACTCTCACTTTGCTCCCCACACTGTTTCTTCAAGTCCACTAACCTGCAACAGCACAATGGGGGAGGGGGAGAGAAGGCTGCAGCGAAAGATGGGGAGACAGGGAAATTGTCGTCCTCTCCTCATTTTGCTTGGGATCCAAGACGTATGAAGCAACTCTAAGCATACTTAGTTGATTTCTTCAATGTACACAAACACACTCACACACCTGGGCACAGTGTGCTGAAAACCTCCTTCTACTGCACATTCTGAAAAGAGGGCATTGGCTTTGAAATGGAAGCCTCCACTTCCATCCTTACCTCTGCCGAATGCACCAGGCCACATATTGTCCAACCTCACAGGGTTGTTGCCATGAGCTCAGGCATGAGAAGATTTTCCAACAGTCAAATATCACAGATCTGTCTCTAAACATAACTCCTCGCAGCTCCTAAATTCTTTGTCAGGAGTAGCTGCCTCCTGGGATTTTGGCCTTTTGCTAAAGTTTCCTTAAAACAAAACAGAAATATCAGCTGGGTTATGAGAAGATTTTATCCTGCACCTCATTTCCAAATACACCAGTTGCTCTCCCAAAGTACATTCATAGCACCTTCCACTTGTTCCCAGTCGCTGTGAAAGATGCACTCCCGTTCGTACTGAGGTACATGGAACGGAATTTGGGGCGGGCACCAGCTGTTGCATAGCTGCCTGAACAGCTAACCAACGGTCTGTGCAATCCCTAAAAAAAAGGAAAACCAGGAAACATCCAGCTGTGGTTAAATGCACACGTGTTTTTTTTCTTTAAAAACCCACAGAGTCCTTTCTATTTTATTTTAAAACATTTTTCAGCAACTCCAGTCCCAACCCGACACTCCCGGTACAAACCAAGCAAGGAGAGAAGTACTTGGAGCATGCGTGCAAACGAAACAAAACATTAAGCAGCTTTTGCTTTTGGAGACCGGGCCAAATATTTCCGAGCGCCCTTCTGCCAAAATAGCGCTCCAACAGCAGCCATCCTGAGCCTTCTACTGCATACATAACGGTCTATTCAGCATCGCCCCTTCCTGGCGCTCAAGGTTAGTGAATCCACACGCCCTGCTTTGGCACTACTCACTCACCATGCGGATCTGGGTACTGATGAGGACGTACGGCATGATCCCAAGCTGCACCCACCACGGTCCCCAAGGTGGCCGCCACTGCCGCTCGCTCTGCTTTCCAGCCCACACGTGACATCCTGCCAACCCAGAACCACGCCCTCTCCCGGAACAACCAATCCACGATGGCGCTGCTTCAGGGCGATGCTCCTGTGGAATTGGGGGGTGGGTGGGGTCAGTTCGGTCGACAGGGCATATGGTGGGCAGGGATCAGTGGGTCAGCCAGAAGTTAGTTCCTTGCTTTTACCTTGAATAAAACTTTGTTGGTCTTAAAGGTGCCCCTGGGACTCAAACTTTGTTTTGCCTGGCTTGTTGTGCCTCAGCTACTTGTTATACTTTGACAGTCCCGTGAATTCTTGAGATGAGGTGGTTGGGTTTTTTTAAACTCTGTTCAGGAGTTTAGCTCCTAGATTCGGCTCTGGCATAATTCACACACATGATCTTCGTTTTACACCTTGTCAGTTTTGCCTCTTGCTATATTTCAACTCGCCGTCTGTAATCTATCTCTTCTCTCTGTTTCAGAAGAAATGCCGCCCGGCGGTTCTTTGGTTAGGCTAATAGTTCAGATGGTCGGCTGCTGTTTCATTGATGAGCTCATAATAAGGATTTCCCGATAGCCTCGTGCGGTGCTTAGAGGGTGGGGGTGCACGCGCAGAAAGCAAGAGTACATCTTTGCCTCTGCTTATATCACTCTGTCTTGTATATTTAGTAAAGCAAATATCAAGGCTGCATCCATACCTACTGCAGTATTGTACAAAAGCAATAATTCAAAACTGGATTTTCTCCACACAGCTTAAACCTATTGTTGTTATTATTTTCATTTATACTCTGCCTTTCCCACTCTGACTCAAGGCAGGTTAAAGTATAATTAAAACAAAAACTTTCAGCCAATCAATACAAGTGGGTAACAAAACATGATAACATGCTGGTAGCGAAATATCCAGTGATTTGTGGCTGCAGGCTAAGACACCTTACCTCTCTCTCCAAGGCACTCTTTGTCATCCAAGAGACAGCAAAGTCCAGAAGCACAGAGGCTGGGGCTTCTCACCATGTGGGAAAGTGTGCAGTTTGCAACTTTTGCACCTGTGTCTCTGTGTTGTGCCATCAAGTTGCTTCTGACTCATGGCGACCCTATGAATTAATGACCTCCAAAATGTCCTATTCCCCTGTACTGGTTTACTCCAAGACGGTACAATAATGGCTTAGAAAGGGTAATCTGAAATTCCATCATTAACAGCCTTGCTCAGGCCTTGCAAACTGAGGGCCCAGGCTTCCTTGACTGAATCATCCATCTCATGTTGGTCTTCTTCTTTTCCTGCTGCCTTCAACTTTTCCTAGCATTCTTGTCTTTTCTGGTGAGTCTTACCTTCTCATAATGTGACCAAAGTACGATAGCCTCAGTTTGGTCATTTTAGCTTCTAGGGAGAGTTGAGGCTTCGATCTAGAACCCACTGATTTGTCTTTTTGGCAATCCCTGCTATCCATAAAACATTTCTCTAATACCACAGTTCAAATAATCTACTTTCTTCCTGCGCACCTACAGGTTGTGGTTTTGATTTCCGCAAATACCCAGAAGTTTATTTGAAAAAACAGGCAGAGTATAGAAAAAGTGGATAGAGAAAAAGTGGGTAGAGAAAACATTTAAGCATCTGTGGACTAGAGCCTACTTCATTACATATGTGCATCAAATGCACCTGGTGAAATTATTCTAGACCACACGAGCTAAGGTTAGAACAAAAATGTAATATTCTTTAAGTTGCCACTAGACTCCAGGTTATTCTGAATAGGAGTTAGAGGACAAGAATAGGGGAGGACTGTTGCCTTCATCTCTTCTTTGTGGGCTTTCCAGAGACATCAGCCACTATGGGGGAAAGCATGACAGTGAGCCTTCGGAGGCTTATTTGGTCAAACTAATGTCCTCGAACTGTCCCTTTTCTGCAGCTTACTGTGTAGCTGACCTTGACCATGGAACCATATTTCAAGTAATTTGCAGCATAATCCTATGCCTGCAAAATTAGTCTGATATAAACCCATTCATTTCAATGGGATTAGACTGGAGTAACTTTGTATAGGATTGCACTGTGAATCTTCAATTTCAAATGAAACACTTTGTGAATAAATGCAGAAGATTTTTTTTCCTTTTTAACCAGAAGGTGGGGCTATGTACAAGAGAATAATTGTTCAAGCAACAGATGGGGGGGGGTGTCTTTTTTTTTTTGTAAGTAATGACAAAGTTACACAAGATTTTTTTGTTTAGAATATATCTATGCTGCCTCTCCAGAGTCCTACTTGAGGCAGCTCACAATTAAAAACCACAGTATAAAACATATGCCATTAAAAAACAAGTGGTTGCAGCCAGAGATTGTCTGTACATTGTAATTTTCTTTGTTCAATGGATATTACCATTTTATCTGCCTTGAAGCATCTAAACTTTGATAAGCAGTTGCAAAGCTGCCAGTGATAAGAAAATCCAAATGGCTTTGCTGGCAAAAAAAGTGCTACTGAAATAGAACACAAGTGAGTAAACAATCTCTTTCACCTGTCTCTAATATTTTCATCTGTTTCTAACATTTTGCTAATCAGAGTATATTTTCCAGTAGATAGCTCTGCTTAGGCCAAACAATGTTTTAAGTTCTGAAAACGTAACAAAATATTTATTTGCAGCAGTATATGCCTACACAATGTATATGTTGTTCCACTGACAATCATAAAAGATGTTATCATCAGTTTATCTAATGTGGCCCCATCTGCAGATATTTAAATCCACTGACTGGATAGGGGCCATGCTGAGAGAAGAGAGGTTTTTCTCTAAACTTGCCATGGAAGCTTGCTGGGGTGCCCTTGGGCCAATCAAAGTATCTCAGCATAACCTATCTCACAGGATAAAATGGAGGAGAGGTGAAAGATTTAAACAAGTTTGGGCCCATTGGAGAGAAAGGTGGGATATAAACAAATAAATCAATCTTTATAGAGTAAGTCCCAGCTCACAAACTATAGCACACTGCCTGATCTTTGTATAATTTTGTAGGGAAGTTTGATAGTTTTCTTGAATAGCACTTTGAAAATGTATCATATCCACTTAAAACTTTATATTGAATAAAAGACTGCTGCAGATTTGTAACTTGTGAAGTGCCCCACTTATACTGTATAATGAGAGAAAATCAATTTAAAAATTGTTTAATAATTGTAATCATATAAAAAGACACTTTAGAATGCCACATGCCTCTGCCTGGATACGGGCTTGAAACAGGCCAACTGGGGGTTGTAGTTTTACTTCTGTCCAGTTAAAACAGCAAGAAAGTTGAGTGTAAGGATGGCTAGGATGTTTATGCTGGGAATGACTGACCCATTGGCCAGAACTACAGAAGAGGGATTACATACATTTCAGTCAGGGCTATTTTGAGGCAGGGATGCACAGGAACGGAGTTCTGGCTGGCTTCAGGGTTGGCCACGCCCACTACAGCCAAAACCTCTGCATGCGTGGCTACAGAGGGAAGGCCTGGAGAGCGACACACACGCCCCAAGCGACTGCCTTTCCTTCCCTTCAAGGGGGGCCTTGCCCGGGCTTCCGGCAGCCACGGGGCATCCAGCAAGCCAAGGGAAGGCATGGGGTGTGGCCTAATATGCTAATGAGTTTCTGCTTTGGGGTGTGGCCTATTTTGTTAATGAGTTCCTGCTGGGCTTTTTCTACAAAAAAAGCCCTGATTTCAGTTATTGTAATACTTCAAGAGAAGTCTCTGAGAATCAGATAGTCCATTCTCTCCAGAAGAATGAAATAATTGCCTTGCGGTACTGGAACAAGGCCTATCTAGTAAAACGTTCAACAGTGACCCGTCCAGAAAACCTGAAAACTTAATTTATACATTCTTCCCCATCCCCCACCTTAATGCTTACTCCACCATCATGATGGTCATAGGTATGGCTGACTGTAATGTTAATACTTTGTCAGTTGGAGAGTAAGGTTGCCTGAGTGATACAACTCACAGAACTTTGCAGCGACCAAAACAGATGTGAGGGGAGCCGTCACATTTTTTAAAAAGACATGAGACACTAATTTTTACAACAAAATGTGCACATGGCAAGAGACATTCTTCCTAGCCCTGCTCACTTCTAATATCAGAGCCAGGGAAAATGTTCCTCCAGTTGTGAAACATGGGGACATAAGGTGAGGAAGGACAAGGAAGGGTTATACTCCCCTCAATCAGATGTAATTTATTAAAATTAGAGACTGCACCCCCTGCTTTAGACACAGCTGGGATAGTCATGTTAAAGAACAAAAACAACTGCTCCCTTCACATCAAGATTGGTCCTAAGATCTCTCTTACCTAGTTTGATCCAGGGGTCATTTCGTAGAAAAAGAGCTAGGGGAACTCATTAGCATATCTCATTAGCATATGCCACACACCCTGACATCAGGGGCCCGGCGGTGGACCTGCAAGGCCGGCGGAAGTGCGAGGAAGCCCTGCCAAGGCCCTCTCTGGCCCCAGGCAGGCAGGGGTGGGGAGAGGCGGGGAGGAAGCAACTTACCCTCCCTCTTCTCCTGCCTCCTTCTGGCTGAATGAGGGCTGGAAGCGGGGCGGCCAGAAGCAGGGGGAGGGGCTTCATCGTGTGCCCCGCCCCCTGCACCTCACCCGGGGGAACTGCGTTCTCCCGCGTTCCCCCCCCGAAATGACCTCTGGTTTGACCTGGTGGATTTTGCCAGATGCAGAGGGATCTGGGGAAAGAGCCCCTTGAGGAAGCTTTTCATTTTTATGATTCTCAGGTTGTTAAAAATAACAAATGATAGAACATGTCTTTTGAAACTCTGAGAAGCGATTTAGCTCAACCAGCACTAAGAAGCTCAAACCCTTACTGTTCTTATGTTTTATAAGGATGGGTGAATCATGGTATCCAAATTGACTCAGGATGAAGGTCTCCTGACATGCCTCAAGTGATTAACTACCCATAATTTTTGCTCTAAAATTTCAGCAAGCATTAGAACTCTAGATTTTATACATATACTTTTTAACATATACTTTGAATTGTATGTCATTAAATAATATTTTGTAGCTCTCTGAAACTT